AATTTATCTTTTCTATTGGAGGCTTGGAAGCCAATTGCAATGGGATTTAAAAGAAGGTGAGGTTTACCAACTAAATTGCTCTGTTTGAGCTCATTCTTCTTTCAACTTGAAAACTTTTTTATTTTAATTTAATTATTTTGGACCTGTTTTAGTTTCTCATTAAGTTTCCTCTATCCACTTATTTATATATATATTTTTTCTAGTACGTGCTGATTACTTTCTCAGGTTCAATCACATAACTTTATCCCAACTATTTGTAGTTGGCTTTACGACTCTTGTATCTAGCACTTTTGAAAGCTGCATATGAAATTGATTTTAATGGCCTTTTTTTAACTTCTGATTAAGGTTTTTTTTTTTTTGGTACAAACCCTTTAAAAATGCTTACGAATTTTTTAAATTTCTATGCTATGCTCTTTTTAATTTTAACTTTTTTGGAAAGAAGGAGGAGGAAGAATAAGATGGAGGGGAAGAAGAGGAAGAGAAGGATGGAAGAAGAGAATAAGAATGGAGGGAAATGGAAGAGGAAGAAAAAAGAAGTTGAAAGAAGAGGAGCTGGGCCTATGGGCGTGCTACCTCTGTTTACCTTATGCATCTCTATTGGTGTGGTGGTGTTATCCTCTGCTGCACGGGTTATTTAAAAAGTTGGTTGAGGTTTCATTGCAGTGGCTATTTAAAAATGTGGTTGGTGTATGCACTTGAGGGTTGGATTGAGTGGCTTGTGGATTTCCTTGATGAAGCTTCTACTATCTTAATCTTGAGCTCTATCTATCTAATTCCTCATTTGTGCTTGCAGTGGTGCCTTCATTTAGATCAGTTTTTTAACCAAATTTCTTTCTATATGCTTTGGTTGAATTATACATTTTTGTGATATACCCTCTTACTTTGCAGCTTTTCTATTTTGCAGGTGAAAGTGCTTCACATCGTCATCAACATTTTTTTTGCAGAGAGATCGAGCTGTCTTTCATATCCTTTATCTTTCGGTAGCATCGGTAGAACGTTTCTAGAGTTTTTTGTAGTTCTGTTTAGTGGAGATAATTGGCTCCTAGGATTTTTTTTCCTTTTTTTGGTAGCTCATTGGAGCATTTGTGAGTTTCTCATCTCCCTTAAGGACTTTGAATTTTTTTTTTTTATAATTAATGCATAGGCCTTTTTGCGGGTCTTAATTAAAAAAAAAAGTTCATCCATGGGTCCATTTGAGTCTATGCATGATCAATTATGATTTAGGGTTTAAGGATCTCATGTGTCAAATTTGGTCAACCTAGGTCAACTATGGACTCAAGTGAGTTCAAATAATTATAATGATGATTATGAACTTGTTTGGGCTATTTACAAAGGTTTACAAGGTTATTTGAGTTAAGATAATAGGTGAGTGGTAGGGGCTATAAATATTTAAAAGTTTTGAATGCTTGTTGGAGGCTTTGGGTTTTAAGGTTTTCAAGGTCATGGAAGCTTCCAAAATGACTAAGCAGACTTTATAGATATGTCTAATAAATTTGTGAATGATCAAACACAATTCCAAGGAATTCACCTAGGGTTTTGATTTGTTCAATGGTTAGTCGTATGCACGATCCAATCTGTCCCTTCCAATTGACCCGTTCGCGCGGTGTTCTTTTGGAGGTCCACACAATCAAATTGAAAATTTTAATTTTCTAGACAATTTTTCATGTCTTTCATATATAAAACCCTAAAAAATTGATTGTAAAGGAATCTTCTTCGTATTTTCTTTGAGAGTAAAAATGAGAGTGCTTTGGGAGAGTGTGGATAGAGAGATCTTACAAGTGAAATTTGTAAAAGGTTCATAGGATTGCCCAAAGGTGAGAATCTCTTTGTAAGTTTGGCAAATATGTGCATTACTTCTTTGAAGATGCTCGAGAGAAGATATTTAAAGAAGATCCAGTTCTCTGTTGACACTTGAAGGATGTGAAGGGATGATGGTTCTCTGCCGACACCAGGAGGGTGTGAAAGGATTACGGTTCTCTGCCGACATCATGTGGGTGTGAAAGGATGACGGTTCTCTGCTAACACCAGGAGGGTGTGAAGGGACCACGATTCTCTACCGACACTAGGAGGATATGAAAGGATGACAGTTCTCCGCCGACACTAGGAGGGTGTGAAAGAATAAAGGTTCTCTATTGACACTTGGAGGGTGTGAAAGGATGACGGTTCTTTACCGCATCGGGGATTGATAAAATAGAGGTTAATTGTAAAGGCTTCTCCGCCTTACTGTGGGAACAAAATAAGAGTCACTTTGGTATAGTGCAATACCTGAAGAGGGAGTCTTCAGGGAGTGGACGTAGGTTTTGTTGAATTAAACCACAGAAAATTTCTGTGTTCTTTTTATTTTTATTTTTTATCGCATTTTTATTTTTCTGAACTTTATATTTTGTGATTGAAAAGTTTAGTTTGATAAAATTTTCATTATGCTAAAATTATAAGAATGGGTTTTTAATCTATCAAGAAGTTTTTTAAATTATCAATTCACCCCCTATTGGTTAGTATTATGATATTAGTAATAGGTCTAACAACCTATATAGACTTTCAGTTGCCAAAAGATTGTAGTCAAAAGGCGATGTAGGTTAGGATGACAGTAATCGTCTGGCGATGGAGGTCAGGATGATAGTAGTCGATGGGAGACTGAGGTCAGAAGGACCGTTATCAGCGTGTGATGGAGGTCGGGAGGACCGTAGTCAGCAAATGATGGAGGTTAGAAGGACCATAGTCAGGGGGCGACGGTAGTCGGGAGGACCATAGCCGGCAGACAATGGAGGTTCAAAAGATTATAATCAACAGGTGACGGAGGTCGGGAAGACAATAGTTGGCAATGTTGGTTGGAATTATTGTAGTCGGCGGTCGAAGGTGAAAAGGTACTATAATCGGAGAGTAACTGAGGTATGGAGGACCATAATCGATGAATGATCGGGGTCAGGAAGAATGTAGTCGGCAGGCGACGGAGGTTGGGAGGACCATAGTCAGCAGGGAAACAGAGGTCAGGAAAAATCATTGTTGTGGATGGGCAAAAGTCCAATGATGGTCGGGAAGAACTCTGGAAGTGGTTGGCAGAATTTTGGAAGTTCGATAGTGGTCGGCAAACTTGCAGAAGTCTAGTGGTGGTTGGGAAGAACTCCAGCGGTGGTCGGCGGACTGGTGAAAGTCCATTGGTGGTCGAGAAGAACTCTGGCGGTTGTCGGGAGGAATGCAGGCGGTGGCCGGGAGGTACTCCGACGGTGGCTGACAAGAACTCCAGTGGTGGTAGGGAAGAAATTCGACGGTGATTGGCGGACTGGCGGAAGTCTAACGGTGATCGAGAAGAACTTCGGCGATGGTTAGTGGCAAGAGAGCTCCAAAACTCATCTGTTCCTTTCCTTCTCCTCTCATGAGAAGAGTGGGGGCTATTTATATTTTTTTTAGAGTGACATGGCTTGTAAATATGTGGATGATCAAGGTCAAAATGGGAGTGATTTGAATGGATGGCCGATATTAATCCCCATGATCGTGGACTGTTTATTGGGCATTTGAATGTCTTGATAATATCAAAATTCAATGATACTGTGCTTGTTGGATTCATTTCACTGAGCCGCTCTATTTGACTATAATCATGTTATGTTTGGAATTAGTTTGGTAATCCAAATTATACTTTGAACCTTCCTAATATGCTTTTGATCCTTGATTTGGGCTCGGATTTGGCTGATTTTGGTGTTGATGGGTTTGTCTTTCCGATATGTTCAGTTCTACTCTAAATTTGCTGAAATCAAAGTTTCGATTGTCCCCATGTTAATTTTTGAAACCTCAATCTCATATTTACATCGAGATTCGTGCTTAATTAAGACTATTTTTGGTGACGTATCAAAAGGTTTAATAAATTAAATTTGTCTATTGTGGAGTGGACGATCACAATTTTCGATTTAAGGTAAAATATTTGCACATAAATTACATTATATTTATTAAAAATATTTTATTAGTTGTTCAAATATGTTTGTTCTCTTTTATTTAATAATATATAATTATATTTTTTGTCATAGATTTGGAGAGATATTTCAAAAGAAAGGCTCAAGTTGTTGAGAAAGATTTCAACTGTGTTTATAGTAATACAAAGTTTGAATATCTTCGTGTAGAAAATTTTGATGATTTATTGATTAACCTTGAATTAAGAAAAAAAATTATGATTATCATCCTAATAATAAGGATATAGTAAGAAGAACATACTTATTAAGAGGCCCCGGTCAGCCTCGAGATTATAAATTCCCACAAATAAAAATTGAAAATAAATTAGTGGGTTTAATCTGCGTGGTTTAATAATTACAAAGCATGATTAGAATATAGTCTCATCAAAGATGCAACTTATTATTTATTTTGTTATCATTATAGAACAAAAATAGGAAGCAAGCAAGTGGTTATATCTTTGTCACAAAGTGATCTTAAATTTGGAAAAAAAAAGGAGGATAGATTTCAAGTAAATGTGAGATGAAAAAGGTTCAGAGTTCTTTTCAATATTTTTATTTTGTGCCCTCACATAAATTTTTTTTTGGCTCCGCCCTTGTGCATACACACACATAAGGTGGCTGATAGCGGAGGTAGTGGCTGGCGACAACTTGCTACAACTTTTGGCGATAATGATAAAAAAATTTATATATTTGAAAATGGATCAAATTTAATGATTCTAAATATAACAAAATTGCATTAGAGGTTAAAATTTAATTTCATCAATAAATTATATTGTTTTTAAATTCACCTGATTGAATACTTAAATTATTAGAATGTATGCATTTAAAATATATTACACTAGAAATATACACAACTAAACGGCCCCTTAAACTTGATCATTTGAAAATTTTAACTGAGCCATGATTGCGAGACGTTTAAGAAGAGAGCTAAACCTTAATGATTATTTTAAGCGCTTTTTTCTAAAAATCAAAGCTTTTAGACTATTAATGTTGTCGAGGCTTCCAGTTTTCAAAGCATCGTCTTCCTTGTGCAGAGTTCAGGGTCCAAAGAGCCCCCATTTCCCCACATGGGATTAGGTGTGCGCCATAATTTTCTGCAATAATTATTGACAGAAGGGAAACTATTAACTTATTTTTCCCTATGGTTTTGGAACAGTTCAGCAATCTTGTTGGTTACTGCTTCTCTTCCAAAGAGAATCTCCCTTCCCTCCTTCAACACACATTTCTAGAAGTCGATTCTCTAAAATGTAAGTTTTTTATTTTAAATATTTTCAACTACGAAGAATGCGGTTTATGAATCCAAGGCTTCACTTTCTGTAGGAGGATATATTTTATTGTACTCAATAATTTTAGGAGGGTTTTGGGTTTTACTGCAAGTTGAGTTCTTAGTCCTTGTCTCTTTCGCCAGATCGACTTTTCTTACCGCAGTCGCGGTCGCCTCCTGCTAACACTAACCTGCAACTTCGTCTGAAGTTCTAAGGAGAGGCCAAAGCAAGCGACTGCATAGAAGGTCTATTCTCCTTCCTAAAGGCGCCTTTTTTCCTTCTACAATGATCACTTTCTCCCTTTATTTCACTGTGGTTTGGTTTAGAGCTGTCTTCTCTGGGACATTTTGGAGATTCGCAGGTTCAAGATTCAATCTTTTTTTCTTTTTTTCTTTTGTGCAGTCAGATTAGGTCTGCATTGCAGAGTTTTCTTTGTGATGGGTTTAGTTATTTTGTTAAAACCAGGTTTTGTATTACATTTTTTATTTTGACCCTTTTTTTTTTGGTTTCCGCCTGGATTTGATGGTGTTTTGTACTCGTGCTTGAAGATTTCATAAATGTGTAGCTTTGTATGACTTTTTTGGCATGTCTTTTGTGACCTTGTGATCAAGCTTTCGGTGAGTTCAGCTAAATGCTTGCCAAGTTATTGTTCTTTTGGTTAATTTATCTCGGATTGTGGCAATGCCAGTAATTTTCCATGTCACATTTGCTTTTTTATCTAGGAAATTTGGGGCTAACTTGGTAGCTTTATGATCTCCACTATATATGTCTTTTAAAGTCACTACTGTTTATCTCTTTGTGAAAAATTTTTGGTTTTTTTTTTTTTTTTAGTTTTATTTGAGTGTTTAGCCTAGGTTTTAGTTGTCCTTTTCCTTGAGCTTTCCTTTATTCTTAAGTTGTGCTTGATTTATTAGATGGCTTGCTTGAAACTGGGATCAAAACCTGATGCCTTTCACCGCCAAGGGCTGGCCTGGTATGGTTAAGTTATCTTTCCTTACTTTCTGATGTTTTGTTTCTTATTACAATGAGAAGCAGTTTTCTGTTTATTTCTTTTTGTCATGGACTTATATTCATCCTATTTTGATGCCTCTTAGTGCTATATTACTTGTTTTCCAGTTTGTGAGAATTCCAGTATTAATTAATATGGAGCTTTACAGAAATTCACTGTGATGTAGAACGAGTAGTGGAGCTAATTCAATATTTCATGATTTTAGATTCATGTATCTAACGGCCACTACGATGTACCCATGATAGTTTGAGTTTTTTTATGTAAGGTGAGGTGTTATACTGTTATTTTCATGTATTTATATCCTTATGTGTTTTTTGTTCATTTTGGGTAATGGGCCATGTTATGTTTTATGCATTATTGAGTCATAGGTTGATTTTAGTAAGTTTTATATCTTTTGACTTTTACTATCACCCTTTTTGACTTTTTACCATATTTTTTTATTTTGTTTTATCACTTTTTACCCTCTCATCTATTGTTTTTTTTTCTTTTAAATTCTGTCCCACCTTTTTTCGGACTTCTTCTCCTCAACTTTAAATTATGATAATTGGTAGTTATGTTTTTATGCTATATGTATGAGTCCTTTGTACTTCTAAATAGATAATGAAACAAATGAAATTATTTCTTCTTGAGTGCATCTATGTTCTCTTTTACCCTACTAAATGATCTATTGAGTGTGAGTGTCACGACCAGTAGAGATAGACTTTCAAGAAAGAAAGATCACAACAACTAAGGAATATTGTGTATGTTGTTTTGCGCATGAGCTCTGCTAGGATTTGGTTTTTCTTGCCCCTCCACCCTTTCCTTCAGCTTGTGATTTCTTCAATTGTCTCCACCAAAGCTCTGGTCTTCCCCATTCCCTGACCAAGCCCTAGCAGAGCTTGTCATGCAGTAGAATGTGATTAAGGATAGTACGGGAATGATATTAATTTGGTCACTAGCTTTAGGTATGACACTATTCTGAAGAACGTGCTAAATGATACGTGCGTTGAGGACTAAGGAACTTACTAAGGGTTGGTGTTGAGCTGAAGGGGAGTTCCTAATGATTGTATTTACAAAGGTCCAGTTGTAGTCTAAGGAACCTGAAACAAAGTGGGGAGATGGACCGACATTTGAGAGGTGGAGGTATTCATGTAGATCATCTAAGGTGATGGTTACTTGTCGGTAGCTACTCGAGATTGAAGGGTAGTGCGGTCTGAGGTGATGCGTAGGTTGGCAAAAAATTCAAGGCAAATGATAAATTGAAGAGTGGAGAGGTGGCAAAGAGATTTAGTACCTAATATGAAAGGTTTGCTTAGTTGAGGATTTTAGAATAAGTAATAGAAGCACTCATGTATCTGGTATAAGCATCCTCATCTTCCTCTCATTGAAACCTATAGTCCACCCTTTGGTGGAGATCAACCCTTGTGCACTTTGGAGCCATAGAAATTTAGTGGGAAAGTATAAAATTAGAGAATGAGAGAAGCGAGCTTGGAAGTGTGAAAAACATGCATGCATTACCCTTTTATAACTCGGATCGATCATACTGTACGATAGGTTATTTGTACAATACGATCAATTCCATCCAAAACGTCTCATCGGGAAAGTACAATCAACAATCAAATCGTACAATACGATTAGGGATCACCTAATACAATGAGTGTAAAATCGATCATCCCGATGAGTTGTTGGTATGACTGTTAACCAAATGGCATCGTACAATATAATAAGCAATAATGAATAGTCCAGAACAGTTAATATGACAATTATTGGTGCCAACGGTTGAATCTTATGTTTATCATACAATATGATGTGAATAAAAAACTAAGTTTTGTGCGTGATGATCAGAGAGAATTTTGCAATTAAAAGCATACACAAACAATCACAATTCATAATAGGAATAAACATTTTTGACAAATAAAACCACATAACATAAAAATATAAACAAACAAACACACGAACAAACCTTAACTTACCTTTACTTTAATTTTCCTAAGCATGAATGTCAATGACACCTAGTCTAGTCCTAAGTTTTAACAACCCGAAAATGAAAAGTATTTTAAAATATGAATTTTTTTAAATTTTTTTTTTAAACTGGAGCGCTTGTTCTATTGAGCGTTGTGGTGCTAGACCACTAACAACGTTTTTGTATATATTTTATTCTAAATCTAAGCTTTAAAATATTTCAGCGTTGCCACCTTCCCCATTTTGGCTACGACTTGCTCGGGAAGGAAAGGGAGAAAAGAGAGAGAGGAAGATGAGAGAGAAAGGAGACTAGAAAGTTGATTTTTGATCATTATTGTCTGTTGCTTCTGTTATAAAAAGTGTTTTGATAATTGTAAATAATTATCCTCTTACATCTATTTTCGATGATTTGATTTCTATGAATTTATCTCTTTTAAATATGTCAAAAATGCATTATCTCCTGATTTCATAAACTTTCACAGTATAATTTTTGATATGTAATAGATTTGATCATTCTGAAAAATATGATATGATTTTATTATCTTTACGGGTTAAATATGTGTATAGAAATTTCTTAACAAAATGAGTATTGAAAAAACCTACTGAAAATAGCTTGAAAAGTGTTGTACTGTGATTTGACATAAGATTACAAAATAATATGTTATAATTTAAAATTTTGTTTGGCAGTCATAGAGCAGTTTTTGTCCATCATCACGGCTGGAAAATTTGCTCATCTTGAGGTAGGTTAAGTTATGCCTATTTTAGATTTCAATAATTTTATGTTTTTGATATTTTTCTGATCAAATTTGTATTTTTGTTACTGAAAAATGAGGATAATTTTGTTTTAGTAAAACTTTTATCGTGTAGCTTTTTATATGTTATAGAGATTGTAATTACGAATATTTTGAGTATATTTTGTAAATTGTTTGGAGGGTATTTTTGCCTACTTCGAAATTTATTTTGACATATAAAAATAGTGTTTCAGTTCAATTAAAACTTCAGAATGATGCTTTATATAATCTCTGATAATTTGGTTATGTTTCGAAGTTGTGAATTTTTGCTCAGTAATAATTTTTTTGTATACCGTTACGGTATTTTGGTTTTTTCTGAATTGAGTCAAATTATTCTTTAATTAATTAAATGCATTAAAAAATATGTTGTAATGTGTTGTGATGTGATGCTGGCGCCTATGGGAAACCGAAGTGGGATTATGTTATGCCGACGCTAGTGGGGCAACCGTGGTGGGATTTTATTATCGAAGTATTGTGATGCTGGTGCTAGTGGGCGATAGAGGTGGGATTTTGGTCATGAAGATATAAAACTTTGGGCTTAAAATCTATTATGATTATTATTATGAAGTGTTTGTTTATAATTCAGTTAATTACTTGTGCAGTTTTGGGTCATATCGGGTCTGGTTGCGATAATATGTACTGAAATGATTGATATGATTGATTTATGCAAAAAATTAGTTTGTTATTAGTTTGAATATGATTTGATGTATGAATATGATGTATTGATTGATATCAGATATATGATATGATAATTTTCTGTGATATCCTCAACATCCACTTGATCCACTAATAGGATTTAGTGGATGGGAGTGATAAAGAGCTAGAGATTGATTGAGAGTCATAAAGAATCAGGACGATTGTCACATGATTCAATGAGAGTTATAAGAAGTTAATTTATTGAGAGTCATAAGGGGCAACTGATTAAGAATCATAAGTACAAGAGCAAGATAGAAGATGCTCTTAACTGAATATCTGATATAATATTGATTACTATACTTATACACTGATTACTAATTATTGAATACAAATATGAATTTTTGTTACTACTTACTATTACTGAATACAAATACTAATACTACTGTATAACTAATGGATTTAGGAAGTTGATTGAATGATATGACTGAATGAAATTGATTGTATTATAAATACAAAATGGTTGATTGATACATGTGACCAGACATATATATATTGATTTATAGACTTCCTTATGATTTAAACATATTGTTTCTCTTTTGCCTTCCATTAAATTGTATGCTTTTAGCTACTTGCTGGGCTATTTGCTAATTATGTGATTTTATATGATTTTAGGTAAAGGTTAGAAACCTGTGGATTAAAGTTTAACTGTAATGATGTTTTATTTTTCTTTCAGTTCTTCTAGTTTATTTATATTTTTTTATAGTCTATGAAGGCTATTGTATATATTATTTTGGACTGTATCGAGATAATTATGTTTTTCGTTGTTTATTGATTTTTGTTAATGCAATTAATTAGCATTGGATGTCAAAATGATTTGGATGTAAATTAATCTGGTTCTAAATAATTGAACATTAGTTGTCAAATGAAAATATAACCAAGAGGAAAAAATTTAAAAAAAAAAAATCTTTTACTTTAGATCCCGAGGTGTGACAAAGTGATATCAGAGCAATGGTCAGAGGAAAAATTTTCTTGTAGCAGGAGCTGTACTATTGATTACATTATTTATTGATTAAATGCATTTATAGATTTATTTTGTTTTGAACATTTTGTTTTTTATTTGTTTATTTTGTTTTGAATTTAAGATTTCTTTTGATTAGGCAAATACACCCAATAAGAAAAAAAAATTTGAACCCAACACTAAAGTGTTTTCAGTAACTTTAGGGAATATGGAAAGGTTTGCTAATATGATTGCTCAAATGGCAAGTGATAAATTAGTCAAATAGTATGGATAGAGTTACAAGAAGATAAGTGAAAGTAGTAAGAAAAGGACAGGCATGATTGTTAAAATACTTACCATACTGCAATGTATCTGATGTGGGAGGAGATATGCGGGACTCTAATATTGAGTGACAAGACAAAGTTTTAGATGATGTGATTATGAGCATTGAATGACAGAATGCCCATTGTTTGGATAGATTGGAAGTAGACTGTTGGAACTAATGAAAGAGGATCCTGAAATGACCGAGAATATGACTGATATAATTTTTGTGTTAGTTTAGACTTTGCAAGTTAAATTTTTTGATATAATTTTAAATA